ACTTTATTACGAAACTTCGATCCTCAAAAGGGTTAACAAAGAATGAAATTTGCAGAAATACATAAACGAAAAACCGGTGTTTGATGAAATCTTCCATCAGTGTTGCTTGTGATTTAAAATTCTAATAGCATAGAAATAAAATGTAAATGTCTACTAGCATAAAAGAGCAATAAATAACAGTAGATAAAAGCGTTTATTAATATTCTAAGGCAAGCCCTTTAAAAACATAGAAGTAAGTAAACAACAGGATAAAGATAAAAGAAAATATATAGAAATATTAAAAAATACGAATAACAAAAATAATACAAATAAAATATAAAAATAAAAAGCTAAAAGAGGCGGATATTTATTGAGATATTACATATTCTATCTTAAATTCTACTTATGAATGATTTATACCTCTGGAACATCTTGAACGTCTCCTTCACATTCACAGTCGGCATCCACGCGAGATCAATGTCCCGGGGCAACGTTGCAACTCGTATTCCCAAGTGATGCTTCAAGTACCTCGTCTTCATTTCCTCGTTGTCCAGACACGTCAAATTACGCGTGTCGATGTATACCTGTGCTACCATTTTGTACAGTGCATTTAGGCACCTTTGCTTCAGCGGAAACATCTTGTCCGTGTATGCGTCAAAGGTATCCTTGACGTGATAAACGAGCCTGGTAAAAGATCATGGCGTCAAGTTAAAATTTCATGAGTTCAAATAAGTTTAGAAATTTTATAAAGAACTTTGTTCACACACATACTTTTATATGGATTCTGAGTCTTATATATGTATATATATATATATATATGAAATTTAACTAACAAAACTTGGTTAAAATAAAAGATAAAATGTTCTATACGATCTTCTACTCGATGTTGTTCAGAGATATACTCTTTGAAACATTGGACATATTAGCACATTTTGACATGAAATATAAATTATTTCGTAAACTATTATTTTTTTGGTAACTGTATGTTAATAAGTATTATTTTGTAAAAAGAATGAATTGAATGAATTAATAAGTTAATAAAGAAAACATAATTTCTTTTCAAAAAAATGTGCAATTTGCAATATGAAATTACATATGTCTTCTGAATAGCAACTACTTATGTTTTTTTTTACACTAATTGATTAAAGTATAGCAATAGAAAAGTGAATACCAAAATAGAGTATAATAAAATATCTCATGTGTAACTAAACTATTAATTTTTTTATATGATAATTGTAATACTATTTTAATAATTTACTTTTGTATGTAGAATAATTAAAGGAATCATATAATCCGTTTAAATTTAACAATCAATTTGGGCGTCTCATATAATTACTTTAATGATCTAACAAAATTATTTTCAAATTTGTATCTAGCTAAATTTTTAGATACTTTAGCAAAACCATTCTTTCTGTGCATTACTGACTTGAAGAAAGTCGGGTAGTCTTTGTTGATTCTTGCGGTTTGTAAGAGGTGTAAAAGAAAATCCGCCTTTATGATAACGATGTTTTTTCGCAATTTTCGCTCCTGTTCTAGCATTATTTTGTGTCCCTCCGAAATCTTACGTCGAAAGTATGTAACGTAGAATGGCCGTCTCATACGCAGAAGATTCTGTATGTACATCACGTTACGATAGCACGTATTCACGAGGGTAAGCAGTTCGGTAATCGACTTTTTGCTCGGCGAAGCCACGGTCTCCGGCCGATTTACAATCTCCTCAAGGAAATCCTTATCGATCGTCAAGTAACCCACATCTATTTTCGCTATAATGCGATGCAGTCGTTTCATTCGCGCCTGCTGTTGCACTTCAGGATCGTTCACCTTGAATTTAACCTCGCCTTCCGCGATACCTGCGATCATAAAACTGATTTTTGTGCACGTCAGATTATTATTGAAGCAATTTCAAAGTGGTTATACAAACATTATTTTTTATTATTATTTTTCCTTTGTCGATATATGGAATTTTGCATCTTCCGTTATCAATCTGGATCTTTGAGCTTCAGTTCAGATTTTTATATTGTTCCACTGTGTAAAAATTTGAAAAAATTCTTATATATTTGTGAAAATTTTAATGAGTTTTTACTATTATAGAAGTTGGATTGTCGAAAGGGCGATAAAAACCTGATGATTTAAAAAGTTAAATAATATGAAATATAACTTAAATATTAATTTCTTACATAACAGAAAATGGAATACTATTTGAATATATATTAGAGTTAGTTTTATATTTTACAAATTTCTGTGGTCCATTCCCATTTTACTTATTTTTTACAGATATAAATTTATTTACCAGAATTCACAATCAAATATTGACTGTACCTTAATTAGCCGACGGAAGTTTATTATTATTTTATTTTTAGAATTTTTTCTTATTTCAAATAACGTACGTAGTAATATTTTCTGATAGATGTTGAGAGAAACGTGGCGATTTCTCGATCATATCACTGAGAAATACTTATATCACAGTTACTTGACTTCGCTTCGATAAAACGAGGTCCGATAAGAACCTAGATATTTTCTTGCATTACCATCATGAAAATTGAATTTCACCTCGTAAAAGTCAGTGAGCACTATTCCGTGTCGACTGTTTTTTCGCCATCACTCTCAAGTACTCATTGAGTACTCGCTCGAGAACTGATATCGCGAGCGAGCACGATCATTTGCTCACTTCGCTCGAATCACAATACGCACCTGCGAGCTCGTCTTCCTCCTCCTTGAGCTTGTTGATTAGGAGCTCACGATGCTTCCACAGACGCCGTATCCACGGGTAGAGCAGCAGCAGCGCGATGGGTGACGTGTTCCGGCCGATGCAATCTTCGATGGTCTCGTTTGCCTGATAGACGCCGTGCTCAAAGGTCACCCCGTGCCGTCGCATACCCTCGTAGGCGTGAACCAGACTGTGACTGAACTCACCGATCTGGAAAAGCGCCTCCATTCGCATCTTCCGCACTTTATAATAGTCAGGAGCTGCGGAGAGTGAAACGATGATGCACGAATGTAGAGATCAAGCGTACTTTTTCTTCTGTTATTTTTTCTTCTTTTTTTATGAAATTATCGAGCAACAAATGATCGAACATCATCGATCGACGCCCTTTAAGAGACCAACGTTTACAGCACGATTTTTTACAGGATAAACGTTATTTGTAATATATACTGTCAAAAAACTACAACAATTATAGTGTAATTTTGGAACTTACTATTAGATGTATATTTACACACTTGTAAGTAAAGTTACAATTTACAAATAAAATTAGTCTTCTTTGTAGTAATTAAACAATTTGCAAAAGTAAATTTTTATTAAATTTTTATATGTAATTTTTATATGTATTATTTATGTAACTTTATATAGTTTTTACACTATAGATGAAAACATGAAACGAAATGAATTTTAAGAAAATAGCCATAAATAAACAAAAGGCGTGAACGTGTTATTATTGTAGACGCGTAAAAGTAGAGTGGGCGGAATTAATAACTAGGATAATTACAATAATATTTATTTGCATATTATAAAGGTGCTAAACAAATATTTTTAATATCTAATTACATTTTTAATTTTAGATTCTGTAGTTTCTTGCAATCATACCTATTTTCATACATTTCTCTGACAGTTTTTCCGCCGCGAAATATTTCGTGCACTTGATGAGCGCTCTGTAGAGACCCATTAACGTTCTTAGGTCCTCGTCAGTGGCTGATTTGGACGACTTTTCGAAATAATCTATGGCCAAGAAATATCTTCCCAGAGCAGTCAGTTGATAGCCCCATTCTCGATAAAGTACAGGTTCCCTGTAGATTTCGGGAGCTTCTTCCTCCTTCAACGACGTCATCGTCATGATGATCTATTGAATGTTTCTAAGCAGAGAGAAAGTAATATTCTTGTTAGATACACACAACACGATAGCAAAAACTAATATTTCCATAAAGATAGCAATAACTAATGAAAAATTATCAGAATCCTACGCTTTTTCTTCTAGACGATAAATTTTTTTAATGTACGCGAAAAAAACCGCGAGACTTGTGTTTTATTTTCACATGATTGCTTCTTTCGCGTTATTAAATTTTATTAATCACATGTATGATTTATTAAACTCGTGTTATCTCTCGCATTACGTCACACCCAAATGACAGATTGATGGATGGATCATCATGGATGAAGCATATCACGTGAAAATAGGTGAATATGAATGACGATACATTGCGACTGTCGCAGATTCCAAAATGCAGCTTTGCAATAATGTAATTTGACACAACCCGCAAAGTGCTAAATTTGATTTATCCCAGCACATTCGTGGTTGTAAATTAGTAGATCAATAGAGAGAGAGAATAATATAGCATTAGTTATAAACGAATTTCAGTGGATTGAAACATCAATGATTTTAACAATGTATGTCAAAAAATATTTAGCGTACTGGTACAATATACGAAATTGTGATTATTGTTTTCTTCATAAAGCATTATTTTTGCAATTTAGAAGCGATATTTGAAATGCATATATCCGCACAATGGAAAAGCAACGTTTGAGGTATTTTGCTATTCGCGAAACTAGGTCATTTTTCCTTGAATTTTTTCACTGAAACACCCCGCATTAGAGCCTACTTGTTTCATTATCGCGCTCCATTATACGCGCAATTAATGCCACAAAGGATTCTCTTGTGTATGTTGTGGTATTTAGAAATGAAAGCTGATTGTGATGAATACTCCCTTAAACTGATCTCTGAAATACTCCAAGGAAACTCAGACGAGCTTTTTGGCTGCCACGCTTTACATCTCAAAGAGAATATTCAACAAAATATTCAATAGGATATTCTCAGATTTTGGACCATTCATTATTAAAGTTTTCATCAAAGCAGAAGTTAATTAACATTTTTATTGTAATGAAATATGCTAAGAGTCTAAAATATGTTGGTAAAAAATATCGAGACGACAGTTCGTCTTTTAAAAGTTTCTTTGTATTTGTTCTTGTTGTTAGCTGTTAAAGAAATTATTGTCATTAGGAAATTGATAGAATATTATGTATTTTGCAGATTATTATAAACCGACCAAGACGAATCTTCCTCGTAAACCATCGCGGACCATCGGGTTAACGGTGCCCTCGAGATGCGGTGATGGCTTTGTTGTATAGGTTCGCGCAGCTGCACGATCGCAGTGGCACGCGGGTCTTCTCCTTCGTCGTCACTAGGACCGTCGTGCGCGATCCTGAGAGGGACGTCACCAGCAAGGAACTAGTATGCGGTTTTCAAAGATGGGCCGTCGCTTTTTCGCGCGGGGAAAAGGTAATTTGAAATCTCAGTGATATCCGACTATTTAATTTATTAATTAGAATTGCCAGTTATGAAATCTTTCCTACAGTCTATAAATTTCTAATTAATTCTCAGCAGAAATAAGCGTAAAATTTTTTTCTTTTTACTGAAAAAAAATCTGGTAACCAAATGTACTTTGTTTAGCGTATTAGTACAATATTTAATACATATTATCAAACATAATCATAATAGTAAAGGAATGAAGGGGATTATGGATTTTGTTTTATTGAAATAACTCAATAGATATTTATGTTATATAATTACTTTTGATACATGTTTATTAGTCGTAAAGTAGTATTAATTACGCTATAATAGATAGAAGTTTTTTGGATATATAGAACGAACACAATTTACAAATAACTGAAGAAAAAAATGCGATTTTGGAAGAGGAGAAAGGATATGAAATACCACCAACTAATATACATATAATAATTTTACACGTCGGATGCACACATTTTGTTATCAAATTTATTTCAATTATATCATTTGAAAGCCACAGTCAAGCTAAACTAAAGTTACAAAATTAATATCAATTACGCACTTCTCATAATTATATATGCATCCGTAAAACTGTCTGCTACCTGCAAAATTGAAATGCAGCTTTTGCGACGCATTTCAAAATACAGTAAGCATTAATGAATAATGGCTATCTTATAACCAGACTGTGTGAAAAAATAATTTTGATGATTAATTCCAGTACAAACTATACAAAATATCATCATATTCTACATCTACCATTTATCTTATATAGCCTCTTTTCTTTTAAAATATAATAATAATAATAATAATAGTAATTAACAATTTGGTAATAATAAGAAAAGTATGATAATATTTAGAAAAATAAAATTAGTGTTTAATCGATTTTGATTATAACCAAAATTTAATTATGTGTGCGAAATTATTTTACTAAAGCTTTAATAATTATATTATATAGATTTGATTGTTATTATGACCTTTTTCAGTATTGTATGCAGAAAATCTATTTACGTTGAGATTAACTCTCTCTGTTTTTCATTGTTTAATTTATCTCGAAAGATATACAACATGATTAAAATTAAATAATAAGTCCGTATCCCCTATATGTACTAAGGTTCTGGGCGTATACTTGGTATGGCGTGGCGCGTCAAGAAACCTCCGCGTATACGTGGACTTCACGTTTACGCTGCTGAATCGGGAGCACTTCTCTATGAACGAGAGCTTTTCCGGCAAACGAGTCAAGTTTACATACGAGGCACCGGCCCAGGGCAACCGCAGTTACATCGCCGTAGCGGACCTCTACAGCCGTAATTTCGCCGATACGAATGGCGAGTTTCAGCTGGAGCTGTCCATGGCGAACGTGCGAACGGTCTACATGACGGAGGTCAGGATGCCAACGTCGGTGTTCTCGGCTGGTCAGACGAAGCCGAGCAAGCTGGAGACCGACTACTTCGCATTCGGCGGTTTCGACTGGAATTTGGTCATCTATCCGCATGGCAAGGACGCAGACGGTTGCCGCGGTCAGGATAGTCGCATGAGCGTCTACCTGATGAGACTATCGGGTTTCGATCATCGGTGCAGGGTGAGATACAGCCTGGCTCTGGGCGAGGGTGAACGGCGAATCGACTCCGGACAAATCGAGGATATATCCGACGCCGAGGGTTGTGGCTTCGGATGGCATACGAGGGTTAGATGGTCCGATATCGCGCACAAGGGCACGCTCCGTGTGTCGCTTGAGATGCTCGAGGCGAGGACCATTTGCGAGGTCGTAGTACAGGCGCTGGGCACGTCGGTTCTGCCGGCTGCGCCCTGCTATGATCGCGACAAGCAGGCTTGGGCCATCCGCGCCGATCTCAACTCCGACACAGTCAGGCTGCATTTGGTGTATAAAGACATCCATAATGTACCGAGGAATCATTTAAGGTGCGTATTCTACTTTTATCGTTGAAAGTCGAAAAAAGATTCACCAAAATCAGATTTAGATACAGAATAACGCTATATATTTTTAAACGTATAGCAGATTTTCTTGTATTAATTTAATATTTTTTCAATACAGAATAGATATGAAAAATCCTGTAAATCAGCAATTATTGTAATCAGTTAGTGCTGTCTGAAATTGTGGATCATTGTATTGACGTGTGTATGAATGTTCGTTCCTATTGTCTTTTTTTTTTTTTAATAAAGATAGATTCTTTTCTAGAATCAACAGCAAATCAAGTTTGAAAAACACCGAAAAGATAATGTTTATGAAACTAAAATTTTGAGGAAATTTTTATACGAACAGGTATGTCAGTTGGTCGGCATATCTGTTGAGAGGCGAGGGACCAAACATCACGGCGATTGGGCTACCCGGCGAACCATTCAGCCGCTACTACGTTCAGGAGTCCGTCGACGAAGGCATTATCATGGAGACGAACGTGGACATGAATGAAGTAAAGGAGAATCATTGTCCATATCTCACAGACAAAGGTCAGCTAAGGATCCGATTGGAATGGAACGAGAGCCACTTGCTTTTTCAAGCGACCTACCACAAGTACGACGACGTATGTCGCGTACACAATCAACAGATGCGACGTGAGATCGTATCGCTGCAAGCAGAGAATTACAGTCTCGAGCGGCAGCTGTTCAGCTATCAGAAGAGCCTGGCATATGCACAAGCGCAGCAACAGCAACAGCAACAACATCCAAATCAGCAGCATCACTCGGTGGTAGGTCATCAGGGTCATCTCGAGCGATCAGCGTCCAGTGATACTGAATACGCTTGACAAGTGGAACGCGAGTTATCAAAGTCACCAACACCACCGAATTACCGGCGTCAGTTGCCGGCGGCGGCGGTACCGGAGGAGGACCAGCGGGTGCATCAGAACCTAGTTAGGATGATGGATCGACGGCTAAGCAATGTGCAGCTGCAGCAGCAACTCTATGAGGAGCAGCGGCAGCATCACCGGCATAGTAACGGCAGTGGTGGCAGCGGCGTCTCCTCGCCCAGACGGAGCATTGATCGCAACGGCCAGGAGTACCGTCGCAGCATCCTGCAGCAGCCCAGATCCAGCGTCGGCGCCAGGTCTAGCAATGGAGGCGGCGGTGGCGGCGGCGGCACTTACGAGAGCCGCGCTGCCGGCAACAACGATCGGTATGCCAGCTACTATCTGGGATACGTCGGCCAAGCGGCGCATAAGCGACGCAGGACCACATTCTGGGAGACGCTCACGGGTCTGGTGTGTTCCCTGGGTGCTCTGGCCTCCAGAGCGGCGAAGATGGCCGCCAGACGGGGCGATCCTCTATGAGGGTACGGCCGACGGCTGAAGATCCAACGCAAATGCGGGGATGGGCAAACGCGCGGGAATGTGACATGGAACTCGTTGGGCATGCAAATGTACATCGCGTTCTGTCTATGTATGTCGGTGTAATATCTCGCGCCAAGCGGATTTCGAGAGATATCAATGACAGGAGTCACATAACGATCGAAGGAATTGTATAATCCTAACATAAAATACATGGTTGGTATCTTTTTGTATTCGTTTCTTTAAAAATTATATTTCTAAATTGTATTCTTTCATACAGCCTTTTAATTTAATAGTAGTATCATTTAAACTTAAGTTCTTTTACACTTTAATTATATTTCTTTTGTTATAATAATTCCTTAATATTATAGCAAATCACGTTAACAAAATTGCAAAAATTCCTTTAAGTTTCATAATTCTTTCAATTTAATTTTTTTTTTATATACCATCGTACCCAGACGTACGAAAAAAGTATCTTTTTATTTTTCATAAGATACGTTAGAAATGTACAATACAAAATATGCGTTGGACACGCCATATACTCGCCGCACACACAGGGTCAGTCTTTATGCGAAACGTGTTTGCAAACGGTCCCGATTTAAGAGATCACTGTACCGATTTTATGAGACAGAACATCCCGTATACATGTAACGTAGGAACACGGTAAGGAGCAAAAGAAAGAGGAAAGAGGATCGTAGGGTGAGTCTAGGGTCGCGTTCTCCTCGACTCTACATGACACACACAAACAACACGCACACGCGTACACACGTACACAAACATGAATCTATCTACTTGTCAATTTACTAAAGAACCTATTTTCCTCTAAAGACTTTTTTCACCTATTGTGTACATCGCCGTGGAAATAAGAGAATATACGCGTTGGCATAGTCGCCAAGCCAAGTAACAATACTGTAATTATTGTAGTACGTATATTAAACAGAACTTTAGAGTACAGTCAATGTTATATAAGCGAACAAATACGAGAGGAATGAAAGAAAGACGGAGAGGAAGAGGAGAGAGGGAAAAAGCACGGACCCATGTGCTTCTTTGAAGGTTCTTAAAAGGCTGCATCGCGATGCGCGTAACGCCATCGTTGTGCAAATTGAGTTCACTCAGACACTCTAGTCAATTTCGTCCCCTTCAAATTGATCTTTTTACTACGAACATTAAGAGTGTCATTGTTATACAACTCTCTGCGTTTCCATTCAAGCTATCGCTACTTGCCGTACAAATATTAAGCCGAGAGATTGAGCCGGAGTATTTATTAATTCTAAAATAAAACATCTGAGACATATGTGGATTAATAGGAATTGAGAAAAATATATTTTGTGAACTTACATTTATTATTTCTTCGTTCGCATTTATCTTTACAAAAATTGAAACAATAGGAAATTTAAAAAAAGACTCATTCTTTTAAATCAAGATAATTTTTCATCTATTTCATGTGGTAAATATAAAAAACTGCGTTGACATAAATTAGTGATACAAAAGTAAATAAATTAGACTTCCAAAGTTCTTGTGGGAAACTTCCTGGCTTTAAAAATTAGAAATTCAAATTTATAGAATAAATTTCTTTTACAACTCGCCTATCTTTCGAACGTCCTATAGGAACCAATCAAGCGATCTCATACTACGAGTATCACATATAATTCACAGATAATTAAAAGTATTTAAACTGAGAATCATACGCAGCCTTTAAAGCACAGACTTTCGTGTTAAACGAAAGTTAAACGATCAGGGTAAAAAATATAAAAGAATAAGAAGGAGCGAATAAATCATTATTATACATATTATACACATGAATTGCCGATTAGCGTTGCCAAGGTTTCTTCAATTGAACATCCATTATCCAAGAACATATGCTGTTTTGATGCTTTATTTATTATAATATTACATAAACAATAGCGCCTCATTTTCGCGATTTCATAATTTTTTAATAATATTTTTATAAATACACACTACATATCACACTATTAATGTCAATTTATTATTAATGCGCACACTTTCGGCAACTGTCCTTCTAAAGACTGCGGTACTCAAAAAAATTTAAGTATAACGTGAGTAATAAATGGAAATTGGCTAATCACAATAAAGACCATAAGCCAATAACGTAAGATGTAAATCCAAAATGTTAATTTACTTACTGCTTATACATATTTTCTTGTATGCAACAGCTTTTAAATGATGGACACCTCGGCAACGTTAATCAATAATCCACATATTTCTGGTAGAAAAATTTTATTGAAATTTCGCATAAATTTAAAACTGTTTGTAAATGTAAAACTATTTTAACAAAATTGCTGAAAATTCGCAGAAAGATATATGTTAAAAATTCACAAAAATTTCAACAAGATCCGGTTAATATAAATATGAAATGTTTTTCGCTGTATATATTCAATCGTACACAAATTAAATTTCATTCAAATGCATTCCCTCGGATGAGATAACGTTGAAACAGTTACATTTCTTGTAAATCTTAGACATTTCTCGACAAAATTGCGTTTGCTGTAATTACAGAATTTCGCGGTCTCTCTCGATGGCGTTCTCGTCTTACTTTACTCCTTGGCGTCAGAACGATATAATAATTTCCGCCCTGCCACGACGGTATTTTATCGCATGTGTGAGAATTCCATACTTACCGAAATACATAGCCATACAAACTATGTACCATTCTCGTAGATATATATATATATATATACATATATATCTGCGACACCGGCAGGTAACATTTGATCGATACAGTATCGCCGGTCCGCACATTGGATGTTCCTCGTGAACACGTATATGCACGCTTACGTACAGCCGAAACTGTCCTGCGTCATAATGTGTGTATGTGTGCATATGTACGTGTGCTTTCAGGTGATACGTCGCTCACAGCTAGAAATTCTAGAAAACTGCGGCATCCATAGTACATGTCAATCTATCAGAAGAAGAATTCGTTAACCAGAACCGCTAGCGACACATTTTCGTGTCATTCCTAAAATCAAAGTTACAAAGACACATTATTATTTTCGCTTGACATAAAAAATTTCCTGATCAAGTTTTTAATAAAGTCAAATTTTTAATAAAAAATGAAAGCAGGTTTTTGAACAAAGGAACAATCTTAAAAAAATCAGCAATTTTAATGTGAATAGCTCGATTACTTCTAAGACAAAGTCCAGAAAAAATTTTTATGAAATGACATGAAATGTTTCCAAATTAATTTCAGTCTGAATTTTTCAAATTAGAGTTTGAAAAAAAAGCTCACTCTTTTTATTGATCAATGTTTTTAAATCATGAATTTATTTTACATTTTTAAACATTTCAATTTGCGTATTATTGATCTTTACATAAATGATGTGACAAAACATTGTTATTCAAATTTCATATATCACGATAATATTTTGATTAATTTTAGTATTGATAATGGCTATTAGAAAAGATTGTATAGTTAAAAATATGGAAGTCTTTAATGAAGAATTTTAGGACGACAATGTAAGCGGCTCTAGGGAAACTGTAACAAAGTGTCAAAATTGCGAAAGGACCAGGCTCGCAATAGTAGCTCGTAACAATACGCCCATATCGCGCACAATCCGTGTACTAGTACTGCAGTCAATTTCATCGAGATTATATCGGTCTTGCTCGCCTCTCGGCGAGAAGATTCCCTCAGCATTCTACGGTCAGGATAAATATCCGACCGTGGCAGAAAGCGCTCCTTTCCATCCGAAACTTTCTACGCGAACTCATGTTCGTCGCAAACGTATATAGCAGCAGCAGCTCTGACAATCGCACCTAATCTTATCTCACCACGATGAGAATCGAATGTTTGTCCGCCGACGTGATTCCTGGCGTTCTCGTTTTGACACGTTTGAGGGAATCCTGACAACGTGTCTCGGTAAAAGGAAAAAGGTCGAATTAACATCAATCGCCAAATTTCTATTTAAAAAAAGATATTTCTATTTAAAATAATATTGTAATTTAAAACAATTTTAAATCTGCGACAGGTAATCCGAAAATATTCTCATAAATGCCATAACAAAGATTCGCATTATGTATACTGAAAGAAAAGTTTTAGATACTTGTGACTTTTTTGTAATTATATAGTACTATAATTATAGTTATTACTGCTATAATATTAATAATAATAATTATATTTAGAGTTCTATCAAAAAATAGTTTGTAGCAAAAATTATTATAAATATAGTTATTATTAGAAATGATTGCAGTTACTATAATTAGTTAACTATAATCTATAGTCATTCTTTGGGCTAAACATATAAAACATATGATTGCAATGATAATTTAACTATAATTTATAGTCGTTTTTGGGGCCAACCATACAAAATATGATTGTCCAAAAAATGACTATAAACTATAGTAATTGCAATTATTTTTTTTTTGTAATAACAATTGTATTTATATTATCATTTTCCATGTTAACTACATATAATTTTTGATAGAACTTTAAATATAATTATTATTACTAACATAGCAGGAATATATATATATACATATGTATAAA